TGAGTGTGTGTGTATACACATGCTGTGGCAACTCCAATACATCACCGAAAGCAAAAGCTTTCCTTACATATTTCTGGGAAATAATTTCTGTAAGTAAATCCAGAACCATCCAGATGGCAGAGGAAATGGAATGCAGAAGCTGATCGTATAGGCAAATATTGCATAAAGGAGGCAGGGTATTTAAATGAGTGATCGTGTCTTAACGAGTTGTTGATTTTTCACTTCCCATGGTCTAGCAACAGACTTATAGACTGACTCAGTTGCCGACGCTTGTCGTTTTGTGATAGCTTCCTCCAAACCACTTCGGGAGGAGATTCAAAGGGAAAACCATTTTGAAAGAGTCTGCTGTTGTCATTAAGACGGATGCACTGCTGAAGTTTCACTAGGTATTGAGTTTTCAAATATTTTGTTTTTCGTTCCCTTCAACCTTCTCTAAGAATGTGGGCAACGGGTGTTTTTAAAACCCCAATGTTTAATCATGGAACTAATAAACGGTGTTTTGAAATCCAACAGTGGATCTGAGAAATATGATTCCGTTTGTGTGGTGGCAATACTATTCTCAAGAATTAATGGCTGTAAAATTGCAACATTTTAAAAAAAATATTCATTGAATACATCTGCAACAATTTTAAAATAAACGGAAGGGTGTTTGGGCATTGTGCACTGTTCTACCAAAACAGAGGCTGTTGTTTCCCAGTTTCCCCCACGTCATTGTGAGTTTTGGAGTCTGATGCGGGTGCAATATTTTGAAGTAATCTGACTGGAAGCAAGATTGCATCATCTATGTCATTCTTAACTCTAGGGATACGCTTGGTCTTAAATAAAACGTTATTGACAAGGAAGCTCGTGAATAAGATGAATGACTGGACTTGACTTGCTGCACTGCCTGTTAATGATTTCCACTACTGCCTGGTTTATCGGTGTGGAAATAAACTTTTTGTTGGTGAGCATGTGAGTCCAAGTGAAAACTGTTGCTTTGCCACAACAGGAAACATTGTGAATTGAGAAATATATCAACTCTGGCGATAACCTCTTCCCGAGCCAAATAGCATCACCCAACATATTGTAGCCAAATGCTCAGTAACAGTCTGCAACTGCAGAATACTCAATGTTGTCTGAAGTTTACTCAGCCACATCAGGTAATTTGTTAAGTACTTGAAATCAGACTCCATCCACCCCATCCTTATGACGTTGTGCAGCTACTTAAGACTTTGAGGTGAAAAAAGGCAATTATTTGCTGAATGCTGCTTCAGGTGATGTTGGGATAATTTCACTGTTATCCTTTTGATCTTTATTAACACTTTGAAAGTGGCCATTGGGGGTAAAATAATTTAGTGGCCCCCACTTGACCTATGTTCTATATCAAAACAAAAATTATTACTGGAAGCAATAAAGGGAGGGATTGGAAGACATTTTTCTGCACAATGGGATGTTTGGCTGTCGAACATGTCACCACAAGCAACGTTTGAAGCCAAACACTTTAAAAGTGAATTAGATATATACTTAAAGAAAATAAAGGGTTTAAGAGCAAGAAAACAGAATTGGAGCAGATTCAATGGAGATCTATCATTGCAAGCACAATGAACCAAATGGCCTCCTTTTCGAAATTTCCAATATTCTATCAAGTGTAAAAGTTTTACGTTTCAACTTATGAATTAGTTTAAAATCATCGAGAAAATCATTTATAATTTATTTTGTTGTATATGAATGATTTTTCAAATTATGAGGGTTTCCATACAGCCAGTCTGCAATACAACACTGCACCATTTATCCTATTGGAGTCTGCAGCTAATACATGTGGGTGGAAATCATTTTAAAATGTACGTGGTCAAACACAAATGAAGCAGATATGTATTTGGATCATCTAAATGACAAATTATGGGATGAAGCTTGCTTGCAGTGTTTCACAGAATCATAGAATATTACAGCACAGGAGGAGGCCATTCGGCCTATTGTGACTGTGCCAGCTCTTTGCCAACTACACAATCAATCCCATTCCCCCACCACTTTACCACATCCTTCCCCTGTTTAAAGCCTCCTTTAAGACCCATCTTTTAGACCAAGCTTTTAGTCACCTGCCTTACCCACGCCCCCTAAAATTAGATAATGTGGTGTAAAAACAGGAGTAAGAAATGCTGTTCCAGATAATTTAATCTGCTGGAACTGTATACAACCTCATCTGTAATGTGTTAATCAGAAGTTGAAACTTGTAATGCATCCCAGCAGAGCAATGGATGAATTCAAGCCAAGGTAAGCAAGAAAACGATACAACTGTATGTCTTTAAATATTGTAATCAAGACAAAATGCATCGCAAACATTGGGTTTCTAAGGAAGTACAAAGGGAGTCAACCTATTTGATCATTTCAACAACAGTTGGTGACAGATTTGTAGTGTTAAAATCTTAAAATAAGCTTTTTGAAAAATATATACATATTTATTGGCCTAGAAACTACATCTGTCATTCTGTAGTATTTGGAGAGGTGCAAAGTACTTTCAATATTTGTCTCTGTAATCCTCTAAAGTAAAATTTTAGATAATGCTCCATTAGCCATCTGCAAGATTTGTCTATTTTGGATTTGACCCAAATTGGGTGGTTGTAAAGATGGTACATCAAATAAAATCAAAAGAATTAGCAACAAAGCTGCTAAACAAAACATTCAAGTTTTCTAAGAGTAGAGAATCAGGCAGAGTAAATATGATGTAACTCCAGGTTCTCAGGAGTTAAAGCCAAAGAGTTCTCCTTGTTTGAAAATGCAGTCATGAAACTAGTCAGCACAAATTCCTGGTAACAACACCGTCTTTTTTTAAAAAAAATACAATTGGGTCTCGAAATCGAGTGACTTTTTGAACTTTATGCATCTTTATGTGCATTTTGTTAGATTATTGTAGGTAAAGTCAATATTTTTTAGATTTCTAAAAAAAAATTAATTAAGAATACAATAATCGTGTTTTTCAAGCAGAATCCTTTTACACACTGATGGGTCACATTGCAGAATTGTCAGGTACGATTAAAATTTTGGTTGCTTAGTGTCGGGGTCCGTTTACTGTTTTTTGTTAACTGGAAGCTCATATTGTTGCCAACTGGGTTTACCTAACAGCCTTCATCAAGTCTTCGGCCAATCAACCGATGAGAATTCAGCTCATCCAAAGATTGTTAATGGAAGGCACCAAACCAATTAGCTTTTGCAACCAGAGTAGGAAGGGGCACTGTCAGGCTGGTGATTTGAAAAATTTAACAGAGCAAGGAAGGCCCACTTTATGTCATGGCCACACTGCGTAGCTGAGAGTTGCCCTTACATTCTTAGGCAGTGCAGCAGATCATACGATCAGCTGCAACTCCCAGTAGTAGGTCTGGAACAGCTTGCATGGAATCCTAGCCCATCATATGAAAGATGACAAAGGATTTGACTACAGTAAAGTTGTTCCATACTATTTTAAGCTCAGTGTTTTTCTCTGTACTCCATCAAGGTGGTGACCTAAGACAGCAATGCAAAAGTAGAAGATACTCTTGCATCAAGGTGGTTGACATGTGACATTCTGACTTCAAAAGGTTGCTTAAGTTCAATCTGCGGGTCGAAGGAGGTAGCCTTTGCCTCCTTGAACTCCTCACTCAGGTAGGAGGCAATGTGGATATATGGCCGAGGGTTCTTCATCCATTAGGACAAGAATGAATTTGTTGCCTCAGTGTCCACGCTTGCTGGTGAATGGAGTGTGTATTCTGCCCTCTAGGACCAATAGTGCTAACACTTGGCACATTGCCTGGGAAACCCCAGAAAAGAGTGTGATAATTGGCGTTGGCAGGTTACCTGGGTGTCTACCTGTTATATGTGATTGGTAGAGATGATAGCACATCTTTGAGGTCCTTGACAGGCATTTTTGGTGTCAGAAGTGTCAGAGCAATTCTCCTGGTATATGCTAAACACACCAACCTCCACAAAGGCCAGTTTGGTTTCCAGTTTCTTCTTCGAGCATTTTTCTTTTGAGTACAAAGTAGAAATGCTAGAATAGCTATACACTTAACTGGTGTGACCAGCAGTTTGATATGATAAATATCTTTAAAAAAAATCTTGTTTAAATATCAGATGCATTTTATCTTGTTTATAACACAGGCATAAAATACAATATGTTTGCTTCTCAGTAAAAGTCAGAAAATAAAACTAGAGCATCGGTCTTCCAGTGGTGAGACTCTAGACATGATATCTCAAAATTGCAAATAATAAACTTTATGATGCAGTTGTTTTGTTTATGACTGTGATTAAAGATGACTTTAAAGTTCAAATCTATCTCACACTGACGGTAGTGTGGTTGCTAAGGGAATATTAAGGGATGTTTAATGCTTCGCATCGAATCTTTGCAGCATGTGGATTGGAGTTTAAACAGACAAGCATGTTTTTTATGGAACACAAAAATTGGAAGTAAAAATACAGAATACTTAGAATTGCTTTGTAATAACATGGCTTTGTTTAGAACCTGATTGGATGTGAATCCCAGCATTTTCTTAGTTAGAAATCTATCGCTTCATTTCAAATCTTGAAGTCAACTGTATCCTACAACTTGCAACAACAACTTGTATTTATAGAGAGCCCTTCACAAGGGGTAGCAGCCAGTAGTGCAATGATGCATTTAACTGTGACGTTATGATTCATTTCGAATTTTTAAAAAACATATCTAACATTTCAAAAATCTATTGTTAACATTTTATTATGTTTAAAACAGCCTTATTATTTGACATAAACACAGGTCACATTCTCTCAATATACATAAAACAATAAAAATTATTAGTAATGATTGCTAAAAAAAATCATAGGTTTAAACAAATCTCAGTAGCTTTTAATGTAAGTTCTACATTATAGACAGGTCAAAGAACATCAATACGGTATGGATCGTTAACTATTTGCTTTGATATGAAAAGGTGAAGTTTCAGGACAGTACAATAATAATAATCCTTGCATTTGATGTAGCGCCTTATCACGTTCTTCGAGACATCTCAAAGCGTTTCACAGGATACACTGTAAAGTGTAGTGACTATATGTTTTGTGGGTGAAACAATAAGTACTCTACAATAAGACTGTACAAAGTTTGTAGCCCATTTCTGCTCTTTTATAGCAGTTTAGATTTCACACGTTTTGGTTGGTCTTTATTTGTTGAGATAGCATTGAGATCTTTTTTAACACACCTTCTAGCTGGAAATTCTTTTCTCTGGTATTGTGATCCCTCTGTAAATATAACAGTGTTGATTTAGTAATTGGGCAAATCCGATTCGACCCATTTTCTTTCAAAAATTGTTCGATAATAACAAGATCAACAAACAAGTTTTCAGACTTTAGATCTAAAATACACACTGATTTTAAATTGATAAAATAGAAATACTCCAGAACAAAATCAAAAGAATAAAAAGTTTACAGAAAAGAGAATGTTTTTAAATTGCATGATGGAGCTGCTTGAGGGCTTTTGTTGATAGTGATGAACTTTTAGTCAATATAGGAATTTTATTTTAGTATTTTTTCCAAAAAAACAAAATAAAAATAGAACACCTGTATCAATCTTTGCAGTTACCTGGCAATCTTGGTACACGCAAGGCTACACTTTCTGCAATGGGTTGCATATCCTGACGAATGCGCTTTGCTGCAAAACTGTTGTCGTTTCTTGGAGCTTTGAAACTGTATGAGGATATAGAAATGATGGTTAGTAATTCTATACCAATATCACCAATGTATGTTAATCTAAATAACTCTATCAACAACTTGCACAAAAAGGAATCCAATCTATTAAACAGGTTCTCTAACATTGTGCAGCAATCACTTAATATGGATTTAGAAGGAAAGTGATGCTTTTCTGACTTCTTTGAGGAGGTTAGTTGATGACACGACCTGTGATGTAGTTTATTTGGATTTTCTAGAAGAAAATTAATTAAACTAAAAGCCACAGGAATCTTGTAGAAAATGCAACTGGTTAGAAATCAGAAATTAACAATTATTGTGGGTATTTTCTTTGGTAAAAGACTGGAAATCTGGACAGCCTTACACAGGGGATCAACCAAACTCTTTTTTTGTTTTTGTTTCCAGTTAATGTCAGAATAGACCCTTTATTTAAATGAAGGGTCTATTCTGACAGTACGTTGATGAAACCAAAAACAAAGACCTAATTTTTTAGAATACCAAATCCATCCTTCCGATCACTCGTTTCTTCAGTCAAATTAGTCACAATTAATACTCGCTTGATCACTTAGCTGGCTGGCACACTGAATGCCCCACAGACTTTTCCAGTGCTATGACACTGGGAACCCCATCTTTATAACGGTGTTGCTATGGCAACTTTCCTTTGTAGCGTGTTGGTCAAAAGTGCAGCATTGTTTTATACCTTTTTCACTTTAATACAATTGTTAGAAACTACATCTCTAATTCCCACATCTAAAATGTTATTCCTTCCCAATACCAAGATTAGCTACAATTAATGATACATTAAATGTTGATGCAAGCATCCCTCTACATCATCATTTAATTGTAAACAGATTATCCACGGGGGGAAAAAATGCCTCAAATCAAATATAGGAAACGTTCTTTTATCTGCCCTAGGGTTGGTATTTATTATTCTTTGACAGATTTTCAATCTCTATATTGCTGGAATCTCTCATGCTCTCTCCCTGCAAAAAAAAAGAATCTTTAAAAATTATGCATCTGGTACACCTGGGGGATCTTCCTTCAACTGCTATGAAAAGGTCTTGTTTTCATTCTCCCTGGGTCTAAAATCACAATGGTTTCTTGGTTGAGAACAGCCTAGTTTGTCATCGTGTCTTCCGAGATGACTTTCAAGTTTTCTTAGTGATTTTAAAAGCTATTTAGGTTTCTTTTACCCGATTCTAAATATGCTGTTTGAAAAAGGCATTTAGTCAGTCTTTTCTGCAATTCTGGTGAGAAACCCGAGATTCTCCGCCACCCCACCACACACACACACGGAGTGGCCACAGTACAATATTGTGGGCAGTTCTCTTGGCTCCCGTATCTAAAATTTCCAAAGCTGATTTGCTGTAAAACCATCTAGCCACTGTAATGCATATTAGTTTGAAACAGACTCTTGGTAGAAAATATGAGAAAATTGTTTATGTAAAATAACTGCAGTCAGTGTGCTAAGAGGCCTAATACATTAGTATCTGCCAATAAAGCATCAATGCTTTGGTTTCCTTTAAAAGAACTGGAAATTTCCTCCGAAAAGGGATTTGTTGCATTATATCCATAAGACAACAACTGAGTCACTCCTTTGCAACATAAACAGAAATTGTTGAAAACTTGAGGAATAAGTCTATTAAGTTTGGGCATCCAAATCTATGTGATTGAAATGAATAGTTTAGAACAATTTAACGAAAAATCGCAGGCCTGATACAGGCTCAAAATTATGGACAATTAACATCAAATCACTTTTTTTGAATTTGAATGAAAAGTACTTATAATTTCACTGAAATAAATATCTTGCAGCATATTCATTTAAAAAAAGTTAACAGCATTCCTTGTGCTAGGATTTAAGGTGAACATTTTTATTAAACCAAGCATCAAATATGTGTGATTTCAAGTCATGCCATTGCCTACCTTTCAGATTTCCTTTTTCGCCTGGCAGCACAAGTCAAACCCATGTACGAAGGCTTGCTGAGTGCTGCACTCTCATTTAGCAATGACTGGAAACCCAACCTGTGACAAAAATTACCATAACAAAATATTAAGGGTTCCACAGTATTATGACAAACCAATCAGAAACTTACCTTTAAGTAATCAACATCATAGTTTAATTTGATTAATTATTCATTGCATGATGAAAGTTTATGAAGTGGATTATTAAACAATTAAGGGTCCAGAGTTAACAAAACCGTAAACACGATGTAAGCAGGAAGCAAGAAAGGCCAAATTAGAATCCAATTTATTGTCTTAATTTGAAAAAAAAAGCCTTGCTAAATAGAGTTTTAGAAAGACTACTATTCACCTAGTGAGGGTTCAGACCTATGGTTCCCGAATGTCAAATGACCTAGTGACTGTTCTCTGGGGGGAGAGAAGAGGAACGCGACGGGAGCTGAGCTGGCTCCAAAAAGACATGCTTGGCAACAGAGCAGAATGTAGGAATCAAGTCAGCCTCAGTAGTGGTCTTTGTAGTCTGATTCCTGAGCTGGGGGCGGTCCACATGGTGATGAGCTTCCATGTGTCAGTCTAGTGGCTGCCAAAAATATAATTTTTTCATTGTGACAATCCTGCAGTGGTAATATCTGCTTGCAGCCTACTTACTCTTTCATATTGAGGCCTTCATTATTACTGTTCCATTAGCAGCATATTATTCAATTAGCTGAGAAGGAGATGAACTGTGTTACACATGAAACTCCTCAAAGGGAAAAACCCTGCAAGCAATAGCTGAGTGTTTGAAAATGGCTTCTTGAAACAAGATGTCAGGTATTGAAAGGCCTTCTTTCTAGAAATATTACCTTAGGAACCTGGAAAGGAATCGGGACCAATATTTATATGGCATGGACAGTAAAAATTAACTTTAGTATCACTGGTGGCATTCTTCTTCTGACAATATTTAGGTTGCAAATTGCATTCATGAGATCAAAATGATGAATTTGACTTCATGCAGTTAAAGAATGGAAAAATAATTCTGAAAAGCTAACACTCCATACATCTAAACAAAGGATGGATCACGGATTCCCATTTTAAACTTTGTTCATTGGAACAAAACTAGAGTATTAAGGCTGCCACATAGTGAATGGCAATTTGATTTAATGGCAACATTAAGGTGAAAAGTTTTAATTTTTCTTTAAACTAAAATAAATGATGGAGACACCACAGTGCACATCTTATATGCTTAACTGAACAAAACCAGACCTTTGAGAGTATTCTATGCAAGATAGGGATGTTAGCAAATTTGAACTGAAAGGTTAATGAGGCTGTAAAACAAACCTTTGCAGAAAGCTTCCATGGGGCCAGGAATGCTCGTGTGATACATCGACAGGCTTGCTACAGTCTGGATTATTCACAGCTGGGTTCAGAGTCACTGTTGTGTCCATGACAGCTCGATTACATCCTGCTGTCAAGTTATATGTAACATTCGTTAGATTCCTGCTCGTTCTGGAGATAGAATTCTCTGTGTCACTCAAATTACCGTCCTCCTCCTCCTCCTCCTCTCCGTGAAAGTTTGTCATTTGGGAATGTGGTTTTGAGTCACTCAGTGAAGAAGGACGTTGCACAGTCTGCGACTTGCAAATCTCTGGTGTCCACTGAAGAGCTATTACTTCCTTTGAGAGGCTATCATTCAGTTGAGCAAGGTGTGAGTAGTTCTTTGCAGTACTTTGATTAGGTTGATCGCTACAATTTATTAGTGATTCCTCCAGCCTTCGTCGGAAAGATTTATAAGGAGTTGCTATTTCTTTATTTCTTTCAGATAAAATATTTTCCTTTGATTCCACAGAAGTAGCTGTCCAAAATAAAAATCGAGAATTAAAATTATAACATATCATTGGTTATCAACATTTTATCCCCCTCCCCACAGATTTTTAAAAAAACAAAATCCAATTTTAGAAATGCTTTTAATATTCTGTCAGAGAGCAAATAATAATAATACTGTAGATTGACAGAATAAATCCAGGCCTCAACACATCTTTTAGTTGTACAATTGAACATTTATCTTATGCTTTATTTAGATTAAGTAGTTAGAAAAAAAGGTCTTCAGGGTGTGTATTGGTAGTCATAACTTCTCTTAAAAATAACATATGGTCTAAAAATCAGATTTATCCCTGAGATAAACAAAATAATCTGAATATGGTTATCTGGGTCAAGGCTAAAATGGAGGTGGATGATACAATCAATTCCAGGTCAAGTACTATTAAGAGGCATCAATCCCTATTGATTTCTGTCCTGCATATACTGATCTTATACAACATAATATGAAGGGTAACACAAAACGTCATATGACTAAGGTTAAAAGGGGTTCAATACAATTCCTCAGTACAATCAATTTATTTTATATAGTAGCTTAGTTTTACTGGTAAAGCTTAAAGATTTAGTTATTTTAACTTGAAGTTAAATGCTCACAAGTCAATAGACCAGAAGAATAATGTAGCAGAACTACCAGAGCTGTACCTATCCTTGGACAATTACGCTAGTATAGTCGTCATAACTTGATACAGCAAAATGCTCATAAATTATCTGAAAGTTTTAGTTATCATTTTGAATCCAACTGGACTGAGGTCAAATTAGGGCTGCCAAATCCAAAGTTGGCAAAGTCCCGGTGAGGGAAATGGCTGTCTCATGTCTCCCCCACCCAAGTCAAATTGCCTGACGACATTCACTGTCTTGGCTCATATAAAGTATTGGAGAGGAACTGGTGTGTGTCCATGGAACTTTACTCCAAGTACTAGTCCTTTAGGAAAGGAAGGGAGAAGTACAGTAAATTAACTGAATTTCTTCTCATCACAGCTACAGAATAGTCATAATCAAATGTTTTACAGCAAAAGCCCGCTGTGTGAGAGGGTGTAATAAGAGCAGGTTTTAATCCATAAAGAGATTTGTTGATGTAATCAAGTCACATAGCTACAAATTCATATCCACATACAAATTCAGTTCAATGACTCACTGATAAAATAAGTTGTCTGCAGACTAAAAATCCTCATTTGGATGTTTTTAAGAAGGCAACAAATTATCTTGAGAGTGAGATGAGAGGCAGCTCACATTAAAGTTCCCTCAATGCATGGAGTAACCATTACAGTTAACACACAACATTACAGTGCTCGCCTTTACAAGAAACAATTCCCATTTTCTAAAGTTATCTTATTCAAACAACAGTAGAGAAGAGTCACTAACTCAAGAATTCAACAGGAACCACACAACTCATCTTTTCCATTGCTCCCATTCACTGAAATAATAGGCAACATGATTTGAATCAAGTAAAATACATAGGAGTGTATTAACTACCAGCTTTCTTGCCTAAGATGATTTTTAATGCTCCCAGCCAAGCAGCAAGCGGGACAATACTATTATTATAGCTCACATATGAAAAATAGCCAATTAGACAAAGTACAAGAAGATGGCCACTGTCTATAGAATTATACCCCATCATGAGTTAGCCCCGCAGGAAAGAAGGTGTGAAAATTGGAAGGGACCAAACAGGTACAATCAGCATAGCCTCAATACCCCTGGCCTCCATATAGAATAGAATGAGTCATCTTTGGAGCTAAAATGGGAATGCTTTGATCCCACACAGGTGTTTTTTTTAAAAACAAAATCAGCATTGCATCACCTTACTTACCCTAGATGGTTCCTTCAAAAGGGACTATTGGGAAATTTCAAACTAGGCATACTTAAAACGCAAGATTCTCCAGGCTTCTAATACTGAACCTTGGCAGCACTTCTTGCTGATTTTATATGATATAATCTACATTGTTCCTAATTCATCTGGTACACACAATCATACTAATCTGCACCAATTTCTGTCAGATGAGTTTAATTGGTGAAATGATAATCTAGATTTCTTAACTGAAGTATTTGTACAAAATAAGCTGAAGAGAAAATAAATGAGGTGCGAATCCAGAAAAACCCATATACTATATGTGCCACAGGAATGGGATCACTCATCTCACTCGACTAGCTGAGGTTTTGGAACTTTAAAAAGTGACAAAAAGTTTGCCACTTTTTTTAGAGAATGGATCATTAATTTGTATTATTATTATATGAAAGTTGAACAAATTAATATGCCAGCACTCCATTAATATGCCATTTTGCAGACCAATGGGAACAATCTATGGTTAGCAAATTCCCCAGGGCTTAGATTTTCGTATAAAACATACATCTGGTCCACCCACAAAATAATTTAAAAGGATACTTTTCTTAGCGTTTGGCTGACTCATTTCAGAGGTACTAGTATTTATTAGTTATTAGCACCTATCCAAGTGTGCAGACTCTGGAATGCTAACAATCGTTTTGGTAGATTTCAAAGTTGTGAATATTTCTTCTTAATTGGCTTCTTTGTTGCTTTAATTATGTTTATTCCCCTGTCCATTAGTTTCCATCAATATCCAACTTTCATTTATACTGCCTGCTCCCTTGTTTTCTCCTGCTGTTGAATTGACGTTTGAGGTGTAAGTCAAGTTGGCTCATGCAATATTGAAGCCTAATTTCTGGGTTGCGATGTGGTGTGATTCTGATATTGCCAGAACATTTTTCTGTGGGCCCATAGGACATACCAATGATAAACAAAGTGAAGGAGATAAACTGCCTATCATGGTTCGCATTCATTCAGAGATTTGAAACCAGTGTCCCTTGCAGTGGAACATGTGTATAACATCTTTGTAACAAATGGACTCTTTATGGCCAGTAGATGGTGCCCAAAAATTGACTAAAAATTGCTTGTAAAATACTACAGGGTTCAGCCGAAATATGAAAAAGTATTAATCTACATAACAAAGAATATGTTTATGTAACAGGTGTGAGGGAATATAACAATCATAGATTACATGGCCCCTCAAAGATTTTAATATGCATTTATGATCATCACTATTCCTTGTTTATTTTCACCCAAGGAAGAATTCTTAAAACAGTACAAATAGTATAAGAGTATTATTGAATATATGACATTTCAATCAGACGAACAAAATGTTGAAATGAGTTGTTTAATGAATGGCAATTTACATTTAAGAGGCAAGGATGACCCCTCTGAGGACATCTTTCTGTCTCATGCCAAAATTATATAATCCTGAGGCACACTGTATGTTAAGTGTAATCTTCAACTTGGTGCCGAGTTCTGCATCCAAGGTAGATTTCTGCAAAGCACATTGCAGAAATAACCCAACACCCTAAAGGGACTGTTTGTCTCCCAAGGTCCTGGCCAACAATTAATCAGATAAAATTGGTGATTCACTTCTTGGCTGTTAATGGCACATTTCTGTGTGTAAATTGGCTGCTGTGTTCAGAGCTAATTTAATTTTCAGAGAAGGAATTCAAGCATTCTCAAGACAATTGGTGACAGAAATAGTTCCAGGAGAGTGCTGCTTCCCTCATATTTGCAATACAGTACTTTGATGCAAAGCTTTTTTTGGAGTTTTTAAAAATTTACCAGCTCAGTAGAAAAACTTTTTCTGCACGAGTTTGCTATTTCGGATGTTCAAAATGCCACGGTCCATGTCTCAGTAATCTCCTTGTATTGAGAACTACAATACATCAGAAATAAGGCATCTAATTTTCTTGGTGAAATATGACTTACCGATTTGACATAGTAGTGCAAAATTACTACCTTCAAACTTTGCTACCTGGTACGAAAATTGACCAATACAAAGAACTTAGGGTTAAAGTATAGCTTTTCAAACCTCTCCACCTCCCACCACCATTTTGATCGTATGTGGTTTCATGCCTTTTAAAGGTGTCAGTTTCTATCTTACTGCTTTCAGGCCAGAAACGTTGAAACGCAAGACGGTGAAATCTCAAGGTTCACATTTCTCCTACAATAGAGCAAGTTTCCTGTTCTGGGTTACTTAATCTGGGGCATACAACATTTCTTTGTCTCTGAAAGGATATTTATTTTGCCTTCAAGGGAAATTTGTTATGCCTCCCATATTGGAAACTGGGTGGGGTAATTTTTGGGATGAAATTCAAGTTATAATGGTATTCTTAAAACATCTGGATTTTCCACAACCTCTTTTCCTTTAGCAGCTTTATGGGAAATGTGTTTGGCTTAAAAGGACTAATGGTCTGTCATTTTGGGAATTGGCTGCCTTTGGTGGGTAGAATAATGTTTAGGAAGGTCTTGTTGTTAGAGAACATGATGTCCTGGGCAGAACACACCCACTAACTCAAGAGCATCAAAAACAGATCTTTGAAGTGCTCTGCATAATATTATTCATCAAATAGTGCAGCAGCATTCATATGCTCCTCAGCATTTATCTATTAGGCACGTGTTCTGAGCTTATATTCTCCAAGAAGCACGGTAGCCACTTGTGCTAAACATATCTCTCTCAAACAGTAGCAAGCCATTCAATCCAAGAAGTCGTAAATTCATGGCAACTCCATACAATTTAAATTGAAACATCACTATGAAGACTGACCAGTGATGAGTAAGTTAATAAACACACCAAGACCTGACTGCAATTAAACCATTATAGATATGTACTGGAACACTTAAAAATCCTAACAATAAAACTATTGGGAGATAAAATAAACCTGAAAACATCTTCAGAGTTCAAACAAGGACAACAGTGAAGATTTGCAAGGGGAGGATGGGATCAAATGGGTTGAAGGCCTTCTTCATCTAAAATTCTCTTGTGATCTTATGAAGTTCAAATTGGTCAATGGGAGCAGAAATAAGTTTATTCTACTTATTTTCAGTTGTATGATGGAATTATCTAGAGGTATTATTAGGAAGAATTGTTCTTTGTGGTGAGGTAAAAGGAGGCAAAAAGAATAAGGAGGCAAAAAGACTACTGCAGGAACATATATTCGAACATTGCATTCAGTAACTTTTTTACTTTAAATAATGCAAACATCAAAGTTTTTTTTAGATGCAATTGCAGTTTTAAAAAAGTATCAAAAACGTACATATCATAAGGCATAAAAATCATACTGTTCACAATGCACTCTGCATTTGCTTTCATGGCTTTCTGTACTTTGCATTTAGTTTAACAACCTCCCCAAGTGGTTTCACCCGAGATGTTCTTCAATTTATCACAGACAAGGTGTATAAACAAAGGAGATTTATGGAGTTATAACTTAATGTGAAATGCAGAAAGCAATATTTAGCATACATGAGTCACAGGCTCAAAGCAGGGTTCATGACAAAAATGCACTGATGAATGGGATTAGATCTAATTGAGAATTCGAGATGGAATAATATAATTTTTTTTCTTTCTTCTTTCAAACATATTAATACATGCTTGAGTGGTATTTCTGGAAACTGCTAAATTACAAGACGTGTGCTGGGTAATGCCGTTGTACAGTGAAAGAAAAAAAAATGTACTTCAATAAACATTCTGCATAGAAATAAGACACAGTTCTAATATTAATCAAAAAATCTGATTGTTTGAAATATTATGATTCATGGAATTCTAAGTTACAAATCAATAAATTAAAATTATTAAAAATGTGTGTTCTAATATATATATTGTACTCTGTAGTTTAAAATTACATATGATATTTAAAGACTTTAAAATTTTGTGTATACTTTTACATTACCATGTCATTTCTTAGCAAAGCTAAAATATTAAAATATGAATTCTAATGGATAAAGATCCTGATAGTTTTAGCACATTGCTTCAATGCCAAATCGATAAATTCAAAGCTACATGCGATTGTGCAAAGAATGCAGTAATACTATGTTAACTGAAAATATTCCTTCTGTTAGAGGGCGTGTACAAACAAAGGAATGAAGTTTAGCTCAATTAATTTGCGTTGGGAAAGCCCAGTAAATCCAGTTACATCATTCATTTGCAACAAACTTTGGGTATAATATTTTGATTTTTAAATATTTTTTTGCAATGCCTGATCTGACAGAATTGACTGTTTTGTACTTAAGTGGATTTGCCAATTTAGTATTGAACATTTGTATTTTTGCAGAGCCTTCAAGTAGTGTATCCCCTCATCATATACACAAGGTACCCAATAATGGGAACAAATAGGATGAAAAGTTGGGTCCCCTGTGAGACATACATATGCATCTTTGTAACATTGACATGAATTTGGTTGAAAGAATGCTTAGAAGGTCAGGCTTAAACATCGACTGGCTTAAAGTATCTAATGCCTCAGTTTCATCTTCTATACCATTCAAAAGGTGCCATGAGTTGATGAAAAATCAAAACTGAAAGATTCACAAGGAATTCATAAGCTAAAAACTTTCCCCAAGAATGCTTGCACAACGGTTTGGGTTCACCACAAGCTGCTGAATGGTGACTCAATACTGAGGCTTCTCATAAACAACATTTTGAATGGCTTTAGCATTCTCTATAGATTTTCCACTACAGTTCTAAAAGATCTGCAAGGGAACAATTATAAAAATGCACAAGTCTTCAATGATTAGTGCAGAGTGGTTTATGATGCGCAACAGTATTGTCCCTTTTGATCGTAAATACACAATAAGAAACCGATTAGTGCTTCATATAATGGCACATGTTCTTGCCACATTGACTTTGCAAAATGCTAAAAATAAGCAGGATTGCAATGGTTCATTTAAAAGCACAACACATCATGAATTTATCTGAATATGACTGAATGAAAGCAAAACTGAAAGTATAGACAGACAGCAGGAGAAAGGGAGCAGTAAAATAGAACAAATAAGTTTCGTTAAAAAGTACATATTTATGGATCAAGGAACAATATTATGGGATCATTGGCCAAAGAGCCCATTTTATTTGGACCACTGTTGTGATCATTAGACCAAAATGTCAGATGTACATGTGGGTTAGTAATGTCAAAGGTTTGCAATTCTACAAGCACCAATCACAATATATAATTAATAATTGCTATCCCCCAGCACAACTTGGCGAGCACATTTTTTTAAAAAACTTTTTTTCCCCTGATCAATCAAGTGATCAGGTCCTTTTCCTCTCTCCTTTCGCAGTAATGATCAATGCTACATGCCTCTTCAGTGTTTCACCCAGATAATGTAGACCAAAAAAGTCTAAGAAACATTATGACAAAATGTTATAAAACATTGTAATTAAAATAATGAAATCTTGTTTGAGTGTGATATTATCCATCAACCTTAAAAGAATGTGATTTTTAAAAAAAAATGAGGCAGATATCACCCTGAAAACTGCAAATTTATAGATAGGTTGGAATGCTGAAAATCTGTGACCTAACTGCTGAAAGGCTCTATACAAATGAAATGCATTCAAAAGAAGCCCATTGTGATGACAGGACATAATGGCGTTGTGTATGATGGATGTTTTTGGTAAGCAGTGAACATTCCACCTACCTTTTATTTGAACAAAAGGACTGTCCCTTTGGAGTGCTACACGATTCTTGAGCAGGCTTCTTAAAGGTGTATTTGTTGTACCTAAATGTGAGCAAACAAAATCATATGAAGGCAACATATAAGCAATTAAACACAAGGCAGAAGAATGCTTTAATAAAATGCACTCTCTCTTGCTTGATGCAAAAAGGTAGCACAGCAGAACCTTTTTGGAACCAAGATGCCAATCAACTGAAGCACTATAACTTGAGCTTGGGTATTGCGTGAGAAGACTTAGGGACAGACTAGCAAAAGCAAAATAAGTGCATGTTGTTCCTGTCAGCTTTGATTTGCAGTATGTGAAAAGTCAAGACTTCAATATAAAAATAGCTAATCTTTTTACTGCCATTCTAATGTGATCATTAACCATCTGCTAATGCAGCCATCTGAACAAGGTCTAAAAAGTTTCAGCAAAAACAAATTTATATGGTGCCTTTCACGTTGGGAGGATGTCTCAATGTAACAATGTTACATTAATTATTTCAGTAATGATTCATATCAGGACTAAAGTAGAATCTGAGATTCTTAGCTTTGGTTCACCTGACAATATTCTATTCTTCCAATGAAAGCAGTACAATAACACAGCACAAAGAATATACGTACAGCATGGTATGTCCTGGTTATAACTAAGCTGTGAGAAGCTTATGATGGAGGAAAAATCGAGCTGAACATCCGATGTTATTTCTGATAATTCCACAGTCTCATCTGCCCATACCACTCCTTTTTCTTGCTGAACTAGTTGTTCTATCCTCATAAACTGAGACTCAGTTGCTGCCGATGCTTGTCCAACTTTTTTCAATGAATAATATTGATGCCGGAATGCAGGAAGCAATGCATTTACAAGGCTGTAAATGAATACAAGTCAATTATTAAGTAGCTCAAATTGCATCATACAAAATACTGGAAGAGAACTGGCACATTTCGATATATCTTTCTATGTGGCAAAAGTACCAGTTTGTTTTTTTCTTAATAAAATAATTAGCAATAGTTGTTCAATTAGAACTTTTCATATCACTTAAGTAAATAATGTAATCTGTATATTTAATTACAAAATTGCTTATTGTCATGTAATGACTCTCACACCTAAACATTGCCATGTGTTTATGTTAACTGGCTTACTTTTCGGTTCGTTTATTCTCGGATTCTTGGAATGAAAGCAATCGAATCATATGCCCAATTTGTCGCTTTAAGTCCATTACTTCCATCTTTAAATGACTGCAATGTAGATCTTGCTGAAGAACCTATTAATCAAGCAAAAATATACTTCTAAGTGCGAATTCAATATCCATAATCATGGAGTGTAACTTCACCCAAAGAGTGAGTAGGAAAAGAGATGGGGAGGTACAAGGGCATTAAGAGATTTATAGGTGAGGATGAGGTCCATGCAATAGATACCGTGGGAATTGGAGAAGCCTGGTGAGAGTTGGGGTGGTAAAGTTATAAGTATGTATCGAGCGCTGGCAGTATCAGCATCCACGGCTGCACACTCACCCTCACTAAGCCAGTCAGGAGTCTGGGTGTCTTGTTTGACCCTGAACTGTCCCTTTCTCCCCCAGATCTGCGCCATGACTGGCACTGCCTACCACCACCTGTCGCAACATTGCCAGACTCCGCCACTGCCTCACCCCTCAGGCTGCCGAAACCCTCACCCATGTATTCGTCACCTCAAGGCTCGATTATGGAAATTCCCTCCTCATCGGTCTTCCCAACTGTTCCCTTCACAAGCTGCAGATCATCCAAAACTCTACAACTCGTGTACTCTCGCGCACCAGGCTCCGTGACCCCATCACTCCAACCGTCGCCTGACTCTACTGGTTCCCCGTCCCTCAGAGGATTAAATTCAAGATCCTCGCCCTCCCTTTCAAGGCCATCCATGCCCCCTCCTACCTCTCTGACCTACTGAGTCCCTACCAACCTGCCCGCTCCCTCCGTTCAGCGGGCTCTGGCCTGTTCCATGTCTCCCGCCCGACCACCGGTGGCTGAGCTTTCAGCCTCTCTGCCCCCACACTCTGGAACTCCATCCCACAGTCCCTTCCTCCCTTACCTCCTTCAAGGCCGGTCTCTTTGATCGTGCCTTCGTTTGCCCTCCCACCTCTCTGCCTTCCCTCACCCCTACCCCACCCCGTCCCCCATGCTTGGATCCTGACCCCTGACTGTCCAGTGCCTTGGGACGTCCCCCTGATGTAAAAGCGCTCTATAAATATAATTTTGTTGTTGTGTTGTAAAGTTTGATGCGATTGAGGATACAGATGTTAGATGGTACAGGTAGTTTCAAGGGAATACCCTGCAAGTTCTGACGATAATGTAACAAGGACATTCAACATTAAGCTGGAAGTATTTTTAAATTCATAGCCACTCCTTTCTAGGGAGGTTTGTAAAACTTCAGTGATGCAATGGTTTCAGAATATTGGTTATTTCAGTCCCACCTGCGGCATCTTTTTGTCTTGGCTTAACAAACAAGTTTTCCTCTCAACCTGGTGAAGCCAACTACTGTTCTCTTCAAACAATTTCTCTGAAGCTTTTTTCATCTCTTGAATACGCAGGCAATGAGCATTTATTTTTGCAAGTCGATGTTCATGTTTCCACAATGCCTAAAGATCAAATTAAAAACACAGTTGATCAAGTGCCACTATAAAATGTTGCTGGATTTTATGACTTGTACCATAGCAATTTAACACCTTCATTTTAAGAATTGTAGGCAAGAAAATGCCAATGCAGTAAGCCTGAATCTGACTCAGGACATGCAGATCTTTCCAGATTTAATGACAACTTAGCATTCAAACTCCCAACTTAAGGGTCAATGCCCTTTAATATTCTAAACAGCAATCATCTTGCTTGCCTTTACTGAACACTTTCAAATTCATTGATTTCTTCTAAAGGTAAAATTCCGCAATTGTACCCTTCCCAGTACTGCAATGTAGCCTCACCAGTGATCTACACAGAAATTGAATAACTTTTTAAATGAATATTTGAATGTTTTCAAGATATAACCTATTATTTCATTAGCTTTGTTGATAACAGGTTTCCATCGTCTGCAAAGCTTCAGTCATAATCACACACAAAGCACTAACCCATCTTTCCCTTTTAAATACTGATTGATCTTCTGAGTTTCCAGCATTTTCTGTTACTTCAGATTATGTGTTTTTCTTTCTATCTATATTGAGGTGTGTGTGGTTTGTTGACTCATCCAAGGTCATTGCTATACACACAGACAGGGTAAATAACAGGGCTCAGCGAAAAAACAAGGCAACATTGAGCCATATGACTTTAAGAGTCGAAAGGGGTCAGAAAATGCTGTCTAATTTACTGAATTGCATACTCATATGTAACCCAAAGAACAATGTCCTAAACCTTACATCACACATTATGCTGGGAGAAAGGTAACTGAGTATATATTTAAATTGCAGTTATTGTTATGGAAGTAGGTTGACATGGAATACCTTTATCAGAAATAGTTAGTTGAAAACCGAATGCACAGCAGAACATATTATGTGATCATGGAGAATAAAAAGAAATTTTGCTTTACATAAATAAAGTACAGCAAGGCTTGATAACAGCCAAAAAGGTGCAAAATTGTTGATGGTGATAAAGGCAGGTCATAGGAGGTGAAGCACACCATGCTTGCCGAGCAGGCGATACTAGGTTACAAAGGTTAAATGTCTGAAACTCTTTTAAAAGAATCTGAAATCAAGAGCATTTGCATCTTCCTTATGATTTGTGCAATGGAAAATATGAAAATAAACAGGACTGCCCACAAAACACGCAAAGCAAGCAGCTCTTGCTAGTTTTGCAAAGCTTCATCTTCAAATAATACTCTTGGCTCAATATATAAATTGGAAAAAAAAGACAAGTTTTTTCAATTTGTTGTGGTATGCTTAGTAATAAATAAATGCAACATGTAAAGATTATGAAATGTATCAAGGCCAACTTTGCATAAAATTTACTTTAAAAAACAACTGTATGCTTGTTTTCCATACTAACGGAAATAAAATATTGAAAGAAATGCATTTTTGAAGCAGAGAAAAGGAAATAGACACCAAGTTAATCTAAGTTACTAAGTTAATATTTAGGTTCCAGGTATACTATTTGTTAAGTCGCATCACATTTGATTTTATCTTTTCAGAATACCAGCCCTCAAATGAGTAGACGTCCTGACCTCTACAATTCCCCATCTTTATTGCCATATGTTTAATTAAGTACTTTTTGGATGTTGTCCTAAATTTTTCATTCAGTACTTGTACCCTCTTATGCTGCTGCTTTGGCATATCTATAAGTATTGTTTTATATTTTCTCTATCTCATTTACAATCAATTTAAATATCTATTATCAGTTTCCCTTTCTACTTTTCCACACGTTTCTACAGTCTACTTTTCACACGTGCTCTGCCTCCAACTGTCTTACCTTTTGGGCGATCTGTTCAGAGCAAAGGAGTTGGATTTGCTGATTGTCTCGTTTGTGATAATAAGATTTCAGTTCAGTCTCCTTGAGCTTCAGTTGCAAGTCCAAATTCTCATTCCTGATTTGCTGCCGTTTGCTGAAGATATTCTTGAGAACTTCCTTAAATCTTAAAAACAAAAAAACTATTTATAAATGCTATACAGCATATTACAGTATTAATGTTTCACTATTTTAGATCTATATTCACAGCAAGAGTTAGTTTGAATTCTGAAAGTCATAATCCCTCCCCCCAATATCAAGGCAAATAGGAAGTCTCTTACTGGTATCTGACTTTTTACTCTGGATTGGATTTTCTTGCTGTGAAACCTTCTTGAAGTGTATGGCCTAATTAGTCTCCCACGTGTATGCAGTGTTGTGTGGTAGCATTATCAATTTAAAATCAAATATCCCTCTGAAAGAAGAAAAGGCTGACCAATAACTCTAATGTTTACGTCAAATTGCTTTAAAAAGGTAATTCAAAAACAATGACAACCTGCACACAAGGTAGCGCTTTGGGAGTGCTGAATAACGAGCCAGGGGGAAAGGGGAGCTGACCACAGCCACAATTGAAGAGGAAAGAGGAAAAAGAGAGCAAGGGATTGAGGCAGGGAGTTCCAGAAGTTTTGGGCAGAGTAGCTGAAGGCCACCGATGGCACATATTTATGTCTCAATCAGAATATTTCTATTTTTAATTCAAGCATGAACTATGGCTACAGTATATTTTGATAAAAACAGCCATTGCCTCTGGAGTTTAGAATCAGACTGGTCTGCATTTTGATTGCCCCTAGGGTACAAACATTGAAAGAAAAGTTAAAATGTTCTTGCACCTCATCTAATTCACAAACATTAAATAACTGTGTATGTTATCTTTAGATTCAGTTGGTCTTTTTGGAAAAAAAAATCCTATTTATGCGTTCTGTTTTTATGTGAGATATACACAGAGGAATAGCACTGAGTCAATCCTCTTGTTAAAAAAAGTTAAGAGACGTGACTGTACTTCTTAATCTAACTCTATGACGTACATGGTATGTTATTGTTGCCAAACTCTTAAAATATTGATACAAAGGGACATTTACATCTCTCAGAACTACTGTATGTTCCAGGCACTGATGCAAGAGGCTGCAAAGAAGCACTATTAATACTTCAGATTTTCTACAGGAACTGTAGAACTACTATATGCTTTTTCAGGCATCTGTGTGCAAATAACTGATTACCCCGATTTCTGTTTCAGGTAGATTGCAGAATATGAAAATAATATAAACATGTAAATATATGTTTTTAAAAATCAAGTTTTTATTTTTTAATACATAGCTTTGAGATATCCTCCCAACATGATAAGTTGGTATATCAAATGCAAGGAATCTTATTCTGTTAATTTTACTTATGTCACATGAAGACATTTTTTTCCCCCTTTTCCTTCTGTACGTCTTTGCCATCACATAATGGCTTATTCATATCGACACAGTGAATTCACTTGTACAACGTGAGTGATGACATTCTGCCAGTGAATTGTAAAATAGTAGTTCTACTAGCTTTACTGCCAAAATGCCAGGACATCTTGAAGGTACTATTTTGACCTGTGATACAGAGGATTTCTAAAAACAAGACTAGCAAATTCTGATGTGTCAATTAGTAACTCCCCCACCTCCAAACTCTACCCCCTCACACACCATTTTGAGATCCAATATCAATGAAGCAGGATCCCCAATTTGATTTATGTCTCATGGTTTCCGATTGCAGGTAAACAAAACACTGGGACTGATACTGATGTGCAGTTCCAAATGTTGAAGGTGCAACGTAGCTTCATTGATGTCAACATTGAAACCTGAACTATGCATGTGGGTATATATGTGAGGTGTGGTACCATGTCCAGCATATAGTTGTGCTCAATTACGCAATTTTTCTGAATTAAAACTGCATGTTATACTGCTTTTATATTGCCCTTCTCAGGGGCCTGGCATCCAGAAAGCCTTTAGATGGCTTCCACTTCCTACTTGTATCAAATGAAATTGTGTGTATCTTCCATGCAAGTATTGTAATGTTGACGTGTTTGCCATTAGTTTTTTTTTTCTCCGCTATCTCAAAATTATAGCAGAGGGTGGCAGATACCTAAAAAATCAAGTGATTTCTCCAGGCTTTTATTTTGTGAACCTGCAACAATTATTTGGCAAACGTATATCACAAAATACATTGAATTCCAGATTAACTATGCACAAATATCTTGACAACATTGTAGGCTTACCTTTTGATTTCTGCTTGTTGTATATCTGTACCAACTGTAAGCGTTAGCCCATGGGTGTTAGGATTCACCAATTTTTCATTATTGTAATCCTTCAGTTTTTGTTTGAGCTCCATGATCTGCAAAACCAATACAACATGAAAATGAAATGTCTGAGATAATCTTGGACTTGAACTATCAAACATATTCGCAGTGCACCTAATTGTTGTACTGAATTACACAAAAAAATTACCAGTAATTTGAAGTGAATTTATTTTAGGAAAATATAGTGAAGAGATTGAAAGACTCATCTTATTTAGATTTTTAAAATCATAAAAGGTAATAGTTATGCTGTATTTATGTGACATTTACTTACCTCTTTTTTTTGTTCTTCACAAATCTTTGCATATTTGCTGACATGGCAATCCAGATTCAAAACATTGCTCTTCAACTATGGACATAAAGATAAAATTACCGAGTAATTATATTAAGCAGAAAGTACAGCCAAGTTATTGTAATCCAAGATGCATTTCACTGTCTATTACATCACTATTACAGGTGGCATTGTCAACAGACATTAGATCAGTTAAGTGTTGAAAACTGACCATAAACTGTTTATACTGCTGTTATACGTCTTATCTTGATCATTTTTAAAAGACCTTCAGAAGAATGTTACCACAAGTTTAGTACAAAATGCTATGAAACTTTGGATCAGATAATCAAAACCAAACAAACGTGTTCTCACCAACTCCCTGGTTTAGATTAAAACAGATATACTGAAGTAATGTAATTCCAATGGCAGTAAATCTCATTTGATGATCAGATGAGACTTACAAAAAATCATTGCAACTTTGGTTTCACCATTTAACTGTATCCATCAATGAGATGTCTCATTGTAATCATTCTGATACTGCAGACATGCATACTTGCAGATCAGGAGGGGCATTTAATGGTAAACAAAATGACTGCCATATCACGAATACTGATGTGCCATCAGTGAAAGTGAATGCAAATATTCTCTGGTAAACATTTCAGTAAAAATACAAAAATAAAAAGCCATTATTAATGTGCAATTCTAACTTTGCAAGTCTTCCATTTTGTTGTGAAATATCATGATATAGACAACTTACTGATGATTTGATGGCTTTTGCACGATTGGCATAATTCAAAGTGTTGTATGTGTCTTCGTAGCACCTAGAAGATGGGCTGATTGAAACTATCATTATTGTCCTGCAGTTTCCTCCCAAGGAATCCTTCAATATTCGAGTCAGTTTACTATTCCTATATGGTATATGCTGAGTTCTTCTCTACAAAAAGAAGGAGCAATGTTATTTTGCAACGCTCAGCAAAAACTTGAACAAAGACTTGCTGTCTCACTGAATCCAAATGTTATTTCATTTGTTAAAACTGTCAATAGTCATTTAAATTTTTTTAAACTTTAAAGCAGGTCAATCTGACTATCTTAAAAATTATCCTTGTATTTTTATTATCATCTTCAAGTGTAAAAAAAAGTTCAGTGCAGTATTCAGTAAAAGGAACAAGCAAGAATTTGCACCTCTATTTGTAATGTTTGTCAGTAGATTATAAGGTACACTAAATAGTCAACTGGAAATAATTATTAGTTTGAACTACTGGCAAAATGCATTTCATACAGGCTGTAATTTTGCCTTAAGTCATGAGCAAAGTAAAATGTGAAAAATGTCTCATTTGTGCATCGGACTTTTGAAAAGTAATTGTTCAGAGCTAAGACTTACATCATCTGTATCTCACTGAATAATTAACTTAGTTTTTAAATCATCCTCTAGTGCTATTCCAATTTCCCACTTTGGCCGCATGACAAAGTCACACCTCAATTTCTTAGCTTTCTTTGACCTTTTCTTTATTGCTCCAATTGTCTTCAAATCTCAGTTTCAACCAAGGTATTGAAGCTCATATTTCACAGGTGCTGTTTTGATTGAATTTATATTACTCAGTCCTTACCATACATGTATAAATACACTTAGCTCCAAATTCCCTTGCAGTTTGACTTTATAGCTCCAAAATAATAACCTCATTAAACATTCCTGCAAATCAGTTGTATTACTTCAAACATATTCATGTTGCCAGTGTTTGAATGCAATGAATATTTATTTTGTGTAAACAAAAGTAATTATGTTCAATTCAAAATAAGAGAGATAAAAAGCCAAGTTAAAAATTGTGTCAAAATAATATCAACATAACTACTCCAGTTTCCCCATTCATCCTTGCATAAACAATTCCTTTAAAAAATCTCAGCCTTAAATGGCATTCCCACTTCACTTTACTAAAGTCCCACCTTTAATCACCACATTCACAAATTTTTCACCGAGAACCTTTTGCAATCAATCACTAATTGCAAATGCTGTCAAAGCTACAAATCACCCATAAGTGACGTACAATGTTTTATACTTGTGATTTGCATATAGTGGATACTTTTCAATACAAACAGAACAAGAGTGTTTTTGATTAGTATGACATATCAAAATCGCAGATCTGGAGGAGACAGGATTGCGTTACAGTTAATCTTTGATGAGTTTTTGTGCAGTTAAAATGTAGTTGAGGCTCCACTATGAAGAATAATTTATTTGTCTAAGTCCCTGATTGTCCAATGCCTTTGGACATCCTCCCTACAGATTGTTATTGTTGTTGGTACTGTTATCATCCCCCCAGGGGTTAGATATCTATTCTAATCATATAATTTACAAGATTGTTCCATTAAGAAGACTAAAATATCAGATGATCAAATGGTACCACCACAAATACATGCTCAAAAAGAAAAGGCAGGTGTCTAAATGAACTTTAAAAGCTTCAGCAGTTTCTCTAGTAAACAGTGCAAACATTGAACGTGGTTTCTAGATCAAGAATAATATGAAAGAGGAAAAATATTTAAGAAATCATTTCAAAAGGCTTAATACCAATGCTAGCATTTAATAAACCTCCTACTGTTCTAACAAAAGTACCTTTCCTCCTTTGAACATTTGAAGAAATGAGGGTACAAGTTCATTATTTCAGACTACATCTACTGCTATTCTTCATTCAAAAAACTCTTATCATGCATTAAATATAATGCATTAATTGCACAGAAATGAAAAGCTTAAAACCAGCAAATACCAATGGGTTAGCTTCAATGGTAAGAATACACATCTGGAAATGTCTAATTGAAAAGATTTCTTATCAGCACTACAAGATTAATGATTGCTCTGGAGCTTATTGTAAACACAGATGTGTTCATTCAAACAAGGCAGCGTATAGTATCGTTTGATCATCTATCCGGTTAAATAATATAATATTGCGCAAATATTTGCGCTCTGGAGTCAGATATGGTTTTCTTGTTAACACAACGCAGAACAGCAAGACTTTATTTTCCAAGAACCAATAAGCTTTTTAATGATTGCAGAATTACTGCACCAGATGTTTTTCTCCTCCAGTTCTTAATTATTCTCACTTTGCATATTTTAAACCAGAACACATTTTGTTCAAATGTTCACCACAAACATATAGTGACAATGTTAGGTTTGGTGGGTGGGTGTGGGGGCAGTTCTACATACTGTTCTTCATGTTAAGTAACCTGGAGAATAATATTTGGTTGGTAGTGGCTCAGGGAGGTTTAAAACAGAAATTCTCATACTTGAGTAAAGATGGTGTAGTTCTCCTTCACATACAGTTTGCATTTAAAGTAGGACTTGTGGCAGATAGATTTATAAACAAATGAGTGGCTACCAATTGTATCCAACAAATTAGAAGCAATAAACACCTTGGACTGTCCAATGTGTGGGAATTTGTTCCTTCTCTCACTGGAGGTCAAATTTTATAGTACAGGGAGGAAGAAAGATAGACAATTTTCAAAACTTATCTGAAGATCATTTGTAAATTTATTTTCTATTTGCTGCATTTTCGATATCCATAGGCCAAACAGTGTGCAAAGAAACATTTAGGTGTAGACTGTTTCTAGCCACCAATGAGAACTCAAGAGACTCAAGATATCTAAAGAACAAAATAAATTGTGTGAAAACCCTCGACTCAGATCTCTCTCTGATAGTCTATTCTGATAATGTCATGGTTAGGGAGAGGATGCCAGAATGGCTTCACAGGACACAGTGTGCACTGCAACTTCACACTAAGAGCTGATCTAAAGCTGTAAACTTTTAAACACTAGTTGCTGGGAAAGCTCCATCTCTGGTACATGGTGTTATTTCCTATGATTCTGAGATTGAACCTTAAACTATTTTCATTTACATTATAAAGTATGGCATAATTAATTTCAAGATTCTCATGACTACACAAGCAGCATGACGCGTGACATAAGTTCCCTGTTGCACTTAACAAAATGGCATTTCATTAATAATCTACTTCGATGAAACTAGATTTAATTTAATTGTATTTTAATCCAAAGGGAATTGCAGGCATAACATTACATCTATTTATTGGATGCCAAATAAAGAAACTTTGTCCATTTGTTTGGACATTGCTTTGTTGTACAGGAGTCCGAAAAGTTCAGAGTTAGTTACAGAATTTCATCTTATTAAAAAAAGGTGCAAAAATAGTGGGCATTAAAAAAAAATCAGTTTAGGTTTTATTTCAATCAGAATTAGACCCAAAGTATAGAACAACAACTACTTGCACTTATATAGCTCCACTTACACAGGGTATCGTCTCGGAGCACTTAATTAATATATTTCTCATTCAAATTATTTCAATATTCTTGCAATTAAAATATTAGAAGTTACTTGTTCATCGCTGGTAACATAGCTCCTTTTAATAATAATAATAATCCTTGCATTTGATATAGTGCTTTTCACGTCGGGAGGACGTCCCAAAGCGCTTCACAGAACACACTGTAAAGTGAATTGACTGTATATTTGTGGGCGAATGCGGCAGCCAATTGCGCACAGCAATGTCCCACAAACAGTCGTTGATTGAAAATGACCAATTTCTTATTGTTTTTGGTTTTGGAGGGATTATTATTAGGCGTGTGGAGTAAGGAAACTTGCCCAAGGTTTCGCTCTGACCTGCCTGGAATTGAACCCAGGTCTCTCGCTTGCAAAGCGAGTGCTCTAACCACTGAGCTACAGGACTTTTATTCAGATACCACATCTCTGTTTCGTTGTTGCGATCATTCATCACATGAAATTCAGATTGAGAGAGAGCAAATTTCACTCCTCCCTTCCTCTTTGTTACCTAGTTTATACAGCTGTAAGCAAATCAACCTCATTATTTACCTAAATGGGGAGCTAGCATAACATAGTTTTCAGCTTTTGAAAATATCTTCCTGTGTAGATTTATTTCACTTTTTAACATTTGTAAGACCACACAGATAGATTATAGTGGGGTTGCAAGTTACACAGTGAGGAAAACACCACGGCCCTCAATTTAAGTGCACCTACAGGACTGACAAATTTATACTTATGTACCTTATTTGTGCGTCAGCCTGGCTCAGTTAGCAGCACTCTCACCTCTGGACCTGAACTCACATAGTCTAAAAAACTGACACTCCCAATACAGCCCTGTTGCAGTGTAAGAAGATGCTGTCCTTTGGATGTGAGGAGGTGCATAAACTTTGTGAATGTTTTATTCTACATCAAAAGATCTCTTGAAACAAGTCTTATCCTATCTGAATGAGAAAGCCATTCCTTAAATTTTTGAAACTAAACACACCTCAAATAATTGTGCAGTCTGTTTTACAGGAGAATCTCAGGATTGTACCAGCATTTTCCTCACCTTATAATTACTCCTACATGTACTCAGGCATTTGGCTATAAAACATGGTGAATGTCTAGGGGGAAGGGGTTATGGTTGCACAAGAAAGAAAACAATGTTTAAGAGAACCTCTTAACAAGTATTAGGTACAGAATCTGAGACTTCTTTTCTTTGAAGAAAAACAGTCATTTTAGTTTAGGAGGGTCATCCATATCAAATGCTGAGGCATGCCTTTGGAGAACTATCATCAACTAAAGTAGTTTGCAAACCAGTCTCCCTGCCCATTATGTTTTTGGATTTGAATCCTGGTCAATACAATGAATGCCATCTAAAAATAGTTTTTCTGGAGGTGGCGAAGTCCATCTGAGATAGAACCAGCTCTGAAGAAACACTCAACTTCAATCCAACCTATCAGCACCAGCAACTTTATGAACCTATTAGGTTCACTGTAATGCTAACAACATAAACTACTATACAAAAATTGTTTCTTACCTTTGGATCTGCTAAGGCATTTATGACATTGCCAAGAGCCAAAAGAGATCGGTTAATATTTGCACCCTCCCTGAGGCGAGCTACTTTTGTGCTCATATTTCGTTCAGATCCAGCCAAATCAACGAGGCACATTTTTGCAATTTTAATGCTTTGGCTGATGTATGCAGTTCTATCTTGCTGTCTTAAATAAATCTGCAGAAATAGTAGAATAGTGTAAATATGCTGAGCAAAATCAAAGGTAAAATCTGTTTTACCAAAATGTGGAAACATCAATAATAGTCTGAAAAGCTTGAGACAGGGCACATTAATAATTTTGACAACATTTAAAGTGATCATATAAAAAGCATCATAATTGTACTCAGCATAATATCTTGGATACCACAGTAAAAAGTTTTGAAGAATAACTTAATGACATTTTTATACTTATTTTCACTGAACCAAATTTTAATCATGCAGGCAATTTTATTTAAAAAACATTAAAATGATTAACAGACCACGTTTTTTTACAAATCTTATAATATTAGAGTTTCTATTTATAGAATACCTGAAAGACTGCATGTGAACGTGAAGACGTGGAATTCGCATCAGTTGGATGCTGTGTTCTGTTTGTATTTCCGTAATCCAACATTGCAAGGAGCTGTTCGGCAGATTTAGGCTACAGAGAGTTGTCACAAGGAGAGTTGTTCACATATTAAATCTTTCAACTTCATCCAATAGTTTTACATTTGGTCAAATATTTTATGAACAGAAAGATATACACAAACACTTTTTCTTGCATTGCAATATTCAATGTGTATGGATAAAACACTCAGCCTCAATGGTAATCTTCACCAGCGTTTCGTGCCTCAGGAACAAATGAGTTTCCAAGAGTGATTTAAAGAAATGGTTCGACCAATGAAATGTTATTTAACATTCTAAACTGCATTATTTGCGATGAGCCAACTTCTAAACCTTGTGCCGATTCGTAAAATCCACCCATTTCTTCACTTCTCAATACAAAGGAAACAGCTTACTGCACTAGAACTTCAATTTGGTTTGGATAGTCTTAAGCACAGTAATGGGTTTCCTCATGCATCAGACACCTGTCTGATCAAAAAAAAATCACTGAGCATATTTGTAATTGTATTATTTGATATATATATATATCAGATAATAAAATTGCAAATATGCTCATGCTTATAAAGATGCTTATATTTTCTCCGCAACATAACACAAGAATTCTTTAGAATCAATAAGACAAGAATTCTTTAGGATCAATAAGCCTTTTAGATGTCTTGTTCAACCCTCAACTGTCTTTTCTTCCCCACATCCAAGCCATGGCCTGCTCTGCCTTCTCTCACCTCTGTAACATCGCCCGACTCCGCCACTACCTCAACCCTCAGACCACTGAAACTCTTGTTCATGCCTTCATCACCTCCAGGCTCGACTATGCAAACGCCCTGCTTGTCGGCCTTCCCAACTCCTCCCTCCACAGGCTGCAGATAATCCAGAACTCTGCAGCCCATGTCCTCTCCCGCACCAAACTCCATCTCCCTCATTCTCGTCTGACTCCATTGGCTCCCTATCCTTCAGAGGATCCAGTTCAAGATCCTGGTCCTCACCTACAAAGCCCTCCCCGGACTCGCCCCACCCTACCTCTGCGACCTCCTAACCCCCTACCAACCCGTCCGCTCCCTCCACTCAGCCGACTCCGGCCTGCTCTACGTCCCCCGACCCACCTGCCCCACCACTGGCGGGAGAGCCTTCAGCCACTCTGCCCCCAAGGTTCCTGAAGAAAAAGTGTAACTAATGTAGTACATCACCCATGCAAAATATTTAATCAGTTCATCTCAACATCAAATAAATGTAAATAGATTATTTAAAACAAAAATGTAGTATTTTCTATGAACAAGATTAAACAGATTGTACCTTGTGTAGAGTTAAACCCTGGATAACAATTCCATTTTGTGCATCTTCTCGCATTGCCAGAGATCTTGAATTAGTTAATAGGTCTCGAATCTGCTCATTATACACCTTAAAAACCAAATTGAACATTAAAAATGTACAAGAGATGAGTTTTAACTTATTACTTTATCTTCTCACGTTTGTTCCTTCCCTCTTCCCATCATTACCTGATGGGCTGCCCTCCAATACTTTTTACTGTGCAGCATACATAAAATTAGAGAATCTGTTAGTTCGATATCAGACCAGTTAGGTCTAAAGCAGCAACAATTATACTAAAAGAAACTAAATAATAGAAACTGATTAAACAAGATGACCCCAAAAGAACATGCTCTGTTTGTTCATGGATTTGCTTCTACTGCAAGCTGTACACCTGGCTTTTAGAGCTGGCTTTTCCAGGTTGTCAGGTAGCTATTGACTCCCATTCCATTTGACAAGCATGTGCAGGAATTGTTGCTAATGGCATAGCACGATTGCTGTATTGCAGTAGACTCTATCTTGCAGTGATCACCATCATCACTGGTCCCTTTTTTAAGTGTCTATATGATTAGAAAACTCATGACAAACACAATGGGAAAAAAAGCCAGTGACAAGATCCAGGATCAGTACAAATCTTTATGGTATCCTTACTGAAAAATGGTGTATTAATAGATGTCAAAATGCTTAACTGACAGTGAATCTCACCTCAAAGTATGAAACAGCAACATCACAGCTCCTCTCACTTTTTATCTGTTCCATTCGATTATACAATTCCATCATTGTTAAGTACATCACCCCAGGCTGTTTAGGTGACCCCAACATTGTGTGAGTTTTTCCAGCTCCTGTTGCACCATATGCAAAGACTGGATATAGAAATATAACACTTTAGTTCCTACAGTTTTGGTATGCTAGAGCTCATGAAAAATAATAAATATCATCCTTAAATAACTTAAAAACCTTATATATTCAGGATTGATAAACAGCATTATAAAGTGATTCATTAATAAAGTGGAGATTTAGTTCCATCTCAATTATTTAGTCAATGTTGCTGGAATTCATTTAGTTTGCAAAATCAGTAAGTGAAAGCATGTTTCATAAAGTACATTAAGTTGCATTATGCCTTAGATTCATCAACTGTTTATTACATGATTGCTCACCCTTGTTGAAAATGTTATTCACAAATAATAATTGCATTTGATACAGTGCTTTATCATATCATTGAACATCCCAAGGTACTTCTCAACATATACTGTGAAGTGTCATGACTGTGTATTGTTATTTGCGAAATACTCTAGGCTTCTACCTGCATGTTCTACACTTCTTCCTCATAAATTCTGAGCCTTCATGCTAAAATTTTACTTCTGATAAACAATTGCATTGGATTCAATAAAAAAATCAAAGCATATGAAGCAAAAGTAAATGTACAATACTTTACCTGTACCGTTATATCCATTAAAAACACCCTCCAATATTGACCTTGTTTGTTCAAATACATCTAATTGTGAGGCACTGTCATCAAAAACTTGGTCAAAGATAAATTTAAGATCTCTATTCCTTCTCTTGTTTAAATCACGATGTGTTGTAGGATGAAAAAAGTTCACGTCTTCCAGTTTTGGATCAAAAACAAGCATGTGTTCATCGACGACATGCACAACTCTGCTATATTTTTCATCCAGTTCGCTTGAATTCTCTGGACGGACACGGACTATAACCTTTAAATGATTGCACACATCATTTTCACCAGAAGACATCATGGTAATGTTCAGAGGTTTCTGTTTAAATACATTTGTCCTAATTGATTCACACTTCCTTCATTGCTGTAAATTTAAAAATAGTTTGAACATTACACTTATTATTCCAAGGTCTTGTAAAAATAAATTGACAATATTCATCAAACTTTTTGGTTACATTAACATTTATAATTACAGTATAATATATAATATATATAATATAATACCTGCTGTACCATTTACATTATTTACATACAATAACACTAATGTTTGCATTTGATATAGTGCCTTATCACGTCTTCGAGCCATCTCAAAGCACTTCACAAAATATACTGTAAAGTGAATTGACTGTATATTTTGCTGGCGATATCACGTTCTGACGTAGTTCATTTTGCGTTCTGATGAAAGGTGATCAACCTGAAACGTTAACCATTTTCCTCGCTCCATAGATGCTGCCTGACCTGCTGCGTGTTCCTAGCGACTTCTATTTTTTTTAGGATCACACACCTATTCAGTGCATAGACTGGGAGGGAGGGAACCTTCTTCTTTCAAGGGCTTAGTCATGTGTATAACCATGAGTTTAAGGGTAATGCAAATTTAAATTGATTTTGTAAACAAAATTACTCTCACTGAATGTTAGGGCACCTTTGCAAAGACAGCTCGCACAGTAAAGCAGCATGTGTCAAAACTTCAGATTCATCAATAATAATAATAATCCTTGCATTTGATACAGCGCCTTGTCACATGTTCGAGACTTCACAGGGACTTCAAAGCACTTCACAGATTATATATACTGTGAAGTGAATCAACAACAACAACAACATGATTGCATTTATAGAGCGCCTTTCACGTCGGGAGGACAACCCAAGGCGCTGGACAGTTGGGTCGGCACCCGAGCATTGGGGGGAAATGGTCAGGGTGAGGGGAGGGAAGGGAGGGAGCGAGGAGGGGGCAGAGAGTCGAGAGGGGAGCTGAAGGCTGAAGGTCAAAGAGAAAGGTCTTGAGACCGGCCTTGAAGGAGGAAAGAGAGGAAGCGGCGAAGGCACTGAGGGATGGAGTTCCAGAGCCTCGGGGCTGAGAGGCCGAAGGCCACCGATGGTCGGGCGGTTGGGGCGGGGGACGTGGAGCAGACCGGAGCCGGAGGAACAGAGGGTACGGGCAGGTAGGTAGGGGGATAGTAGGTCGGAGAGGTAGGAGGGAGCGAGGCCGCGAATGGCCTTGTGGGTGAGGATGAGGATCTTGAATCCGACTGTACATTTTGTCAATCTAACAATGTACAAATCCAGCTCATCGCGTTACGCGCGTCAGGTGAACAACTTTGCAAAAAAAAAAAAAACAAACAACGCACACGCGCACACTGGGAGAGGGAGCGGATAACAGCCAACCAAGCGGCAGTTGGGCAGCAAAACAACTCTGGATTCACGTTCTCGCGTCGTCGTCGTCTCACTCGCGCACGTGCAGCTCGTCCGTGCTGTTCGGATCCGGAACGCGCTCGCCCGGCGGGGAGGGAGTGGCGGAAGCCGATTCCGGAACGGCTTGCGGGGGAGAAGTGGGCAGACATTCGGGGAGGGCAAGTGTTTGCAAGGCCTATGGGGTGAGGGGGGTGGTGGGGGAGAGGGGGGGGGGGGGGTAGAGCCGGGGGATGGGATCAATTTGGGTAGCACTTTGTTCAAGGAGCCGGCAAGGGGCACGATGGGCCGAATGGCCTCCTTCTGTGCTGTATAATTTCTATACAGATTCTATACCTGAAAGTCAACTTAGGCCCGAACTCATCGAGAGATTGAGTGTGAGGTGCATTAAAACCAGCGCCTCGATGTGGAAGACCATCGAGAGAGGGGGTTGAGAGAGAGAGAGTGAGAGAGAGGGAGAGAGAAGCAGCTCAGGTTTAAGCCTCAACCCCAACAACGATTTAAAAGAGAAATCGAGGGCATACTCACGCCTGAACCGCGGGTCATGTTATTTTTGGGTGATCGCTTGCTGTCGAGGGGCGGGGGGGGAGGGGAACCAAACGGCCGTTAGAGGCAGCGGAATTCAAACCGGTCCGTGGCGCGAGCTGCCGCCTTCTGATTGGTCGGCGTTCGCACCCCCACCACCCACCCGCCGCCACCGCCGCCGCCCAGGGCTTTGCGTCGTGACGTCATCGCGGGAGGGTGAGCGAGCGAGTTAGCGAGTGAGTAGAAGGGGTGGGGAGGCGGAAGACGTGCCTTTGCGCCCTGACGTCTCAAGGTGGGGGGGGGGGTGAACGTGACGGTGCGCCGTGACGTCTCGGGGACGTGCGGAGGATGTTCAGCCGTTTAACTGCTCGGGCGGCGGAGATGGCGGGAACGTGTGTGTGTAGTGTCATGGCGGCCAGACAGCTGTCAGAGAGGAGGAAGGGAGTCTTTCAACTCACGTAGAGATAGATACCTGAACGGTCCCCGCGCTGATTCACATGTGTGTTTTTTTTTAAAAAAAATTCATGTCAAATAGACTCGTTAATAGACGAGACGTCGCAATAAAACCCCGAACCACAATGACCGCCCATTACGCGTCTGCTCGCTCGGTCCGTGAACCGTGAGGTCCTGGTGTTTACACGTGACGGTACGAGACCGGGGTTCGCCGACCAAACGTTGTCAGAGTAGGTCAGACACCCCGCCCCGGGCTCAGAGGACGTTGAGCGTCACCCCGAAACCCAACCGCGGCAACGCTCCCGAAGAGGGAGGGCCCTCCTCGCAGGCCCGTCAACGTGGGGTTATTGGCCGCACGCGACCCGACCCCCTCGGCCTCCTCATCCTTTCCCCCCCCCCCACCCGCCCTCCCTCCCTCCTTACCCTCCCCGAACTCAGAAAGGTACGACACTTGGTGCCGTTTTGTGTGTCCAGAGCGATTTATTTCTTACTCCCTCCCCCCACCACCCCCCCCATAAACGGTTCCCGTGCGGTTAAATCATTTATAGCGTCGCCTACTTTTTAAATCGCTCACAGCGAGAGCTTCCCACCGGCTAAGAACTGTATTGTACAGGACATCTCCCTGAAGGCTGACCTTCCCAACCCACCCCAACCCACCCCAACCCATCCCATCCCAACCAACATGACAATGAGATTGGTAAACCGTCTCCTTCAAAGCCGTTCACCTCCTGGCGTTGGACGTGACGAACTTTATTGGGGTAAAATCAGCGTCGCTCTTCGGTGTCCGCCCAGAAAGTTTTCCTCCTCGGCATCGAGCGAGACCGAAAAAGTCGACCAGGCAGAGGCTTCGGGCACTGCACCCGACTCAGAGGAAAACTCCAGTCGAAAAAGTTCGTTGCAAACCACATGCTCCCACAAACCAGTGATGGTGAAAGAAGTTCTTAATTGTTTGTCACCGAAACCCGGACAGGTGAGTCAGGATTTTGTACCAGATTATTTATTGCACAATTGCCCAATGAGTAGCTAAAATCATTCAATGCTTGGTCTGCCACATCCATGGAACGTGTATTGATTACCATCCAGGAGGGAAACCGAATCTTTACATGTACAGTACTGATCAATTTCTGCAATGACTCTTCACACGTTTTTGTCTTGAGCCCTGCATTTTGAATACATCAACACATATGGATTACCGTTTGTCCACAGTTTATGATAACACATCTAGATTTGGTAGAAATGTTTGGAGCAAGACTTTTTTTGAAAACAATTCTATGGCCAAATGGAGCCTTTCTCAGAAAGTTTTAAGTGTACGTATCACCCGCAAAATATACAGTCAATCCACTTTACAGTATGTTTAGATAAGCGCTTTGAGACATCTCAAAGATGTGATAAGGTGTTATGTCAAATGCAAGGATTATTATAACTTGCAATTAATAAGTATACTTTCTGCATGTTTATCTGCTAAGCCAAAGAGTATATGTAAATATAAAGTAACAAGGTGAGGCCAATAATTCCCAGATGTGGTTTAAATTACAATTTCTGGGGAAAGCTTCGGTTAGCAGTGTCCATCAGTCAAGAGTCGGTAATGCTATGTGGCTCATTTGATGATCAAGACTATGATTGCAATTGATAGGTATGATTTATGCCTAAATCAAAGAGATTTAGAACCTTGCTGTTTAAATTTGTGAAGCAAAATTCTGAGAACAAAACCAATTCAGGAGAACAACAATGTAGCATGTACTGGCGAGGGCAAGTAAAGTTGGTGATGATTGATTATGGTTCTTGTTTCGTCAGGAATATAAGCGATATCTGCTATAACGAAAGAATATTTGGGACTTATTTGGCTATTGACTAGGAATGAGCAGTGATTGTAGAAGTATCAGCTGAAAGTTTTATCAAGCTTTAACCAATGGAAAACGTTTCCCAAAATGCTGCTTTTAAGCAGTCAAAATATTTCCAGAGTATAATAAAAATATCTGTTCTGCAATTTTTGAGTTGTTTATCAATCAGATGCTCTGGAACATTTCCCATTATTTTAGTTAAAATTGAAGTTCTCCTTGGATCAGAATTAGGCCAATTTGCCTATTGAACCTGTACTGCTCTGGGATGCTACCCTGTGTGAGGGACACTATACAAATGCAAGTTGTTTTTTGTATTGCCATTTTGTTAGATCATGGTAAATATTTTTATCCCACATCCCCACTTTTTTACCTGCATCATGTCCAGGCTCAATTATTTGAACACCCCGCTTACTGGACTCCCCAGCACCTCCCTTTGCAAGCTGCAGACCATCCAGAACTCTGCAGACCATCCAGAACTCTGCAGACCATCCAGAACTCTGCAGTCCATCCAGAACTCTGCAGACCATCCAGAACTCTGCAACCCACGGTGGTGCCCACTCCAGGCTCCGTAAGCCTTTCATCCCAATTCTTGCTCAGCTGCACTGGCTCCCCAACCCCCTGACTTTCCCTACTTCCATGTTTCTGTCTCCCTTTTAAGCACCTTAAGTGATTTGCATACATGATCACCTAGAGCAATTCATCCATATTCTCATCATTTTTTGTGTGATGAAATACTTTGAGTCTGAGTCAGAAGGCTGTGGGTTCAGTTCCCCAGAAGGGACTTTGAAATCATAGTGTCCACTGATAGTTGAGTGCAGTGTGCTTGCTGCATTGTTCGAGATGCCATCGTTTGGACGAGACGTTAAACTGAGGCCCTGTGTACCTGTTAAAGTGGATTTTAGAGATCCTATGACACCATTTGAAAGAGAAGGGAGTTCTTCAGGTTACCAATCCCCAAAATATTAAAAAAAGGTTCAGTTCATGGCTGTTGGTATTGCTTTGCATACATTTTCTGCTGTGCTCGCCAACAAAATACTCAATAAAGTACCCTCTACATTTTACAGCATATCATGTGAAGTGCTTTTGAGACGTCTTCCCAATGTGCAATGTGTAAGAAATATTAAAAGTGTTATTGTATTACTGAGCATTAAGCATCAAATAAAAAATGCCAGTGGTGCAGAATTTTGTGCCTAAGTGAAATGTAAAAATTGGATATGTAGTTTATAAGATTATTAACACAATTGGTGACTATGGCATCATCTGATTGTTGTGAAGCTGCTTCAGGAAATCTTGATTTCAGGAATAGTCAATTGTATTTTGTTTTGGTAATATTGCAACATAAAGTTACATTAAATTGCAACAGTCAAGGTTCAGGCATAGGATACATTGTACACAAAAAATCCTTCAAAAACAATAATAAATTGGTCACTTCAATCCACAACTGTTTGTGGGACACTGCTATGTGCAATTAGCTGCTTTTCGCCCACAAAGTATAGTCAATTCATTTTACAGTATACTCTGAAGTACTTTGAGATGTCGCTGAGCTTGATAAGGCACGAGAACAAATGCAAGGATTATTATTATTACACACCTGCATTTGTCTGCAGAATTGCTGGCTATTTATATAATATTGCATTCCTAATGGGTATGTTATTTTCAGTGCTGTGTTCTCTCGAGTGTAACAGCAGCTTCACTGAGACAGTTGCTCCCCAATGCTACCTAATAATTAGTAACCAATTAATTAATAATTGAGTGTTTTTGTCATTTATAATGATGTTACTTGCCAATCAAGTACAGGATAATTTCACAAGTTCATGTGGTCTTGAGTCAGTCATACAGAGCTCTGTTTTGATGGTCTTCTACAAGTGATCAAAAAGCTGTTAGCTTCCGTGGTGAATTTTTGTCAACCGTGTCATACCAGATAAGTTTTTCTTCCTAAAACATCAGGTTGTATGTCAGTCTTCACGTTTATTTAACATCTCCTTTGAAACAAAATAAGCACTGCAAACAGGCATGCGTGGGGCTTTGACCTTTTACTTTGACCACACAAAGCTTTCTTTCTGCTTTTGTGTACCGGGTCCCATGAATGGATCTGTTTGAGTGAGACTATATGTTTTTTTTTAAAACAGACTGTTCACTTTGAATCCTGATACAGTGTTCAGAGGGAAAGGAAAACCGGAACCTTGGTGGCTGAATGGCACTGATGTAGATATAAACTGTTCATTTCATTCTTTGAGGGATTGAAGGAAACCAGATTACCAATGTCTCATTGAAGAGTATGGAGAAATTCAATTTTAACGATACAGGCATTGTACTGCAAGACTAATGACAGTTAGTTGTGTGCATCATAAGATCTGCAGGAAAGAATATACAGCTGAATACTCGGCATAGAATGGATCAGGTTGGATGATGAGTGGAGAAGGTCAAAGATGTGGAGGTGGAGAAAGTATGGAAAAGAGGAGAATCCTGGGAAGCCCTGAGTTAATGGAAAAAATAATTTGAGAATTTAGAAGCATTGGAAAAACATTTTAAAAAGTCTTAAGCTTTCTTTGGTATACGTGTTTTCTTATATCTTGTACAGTTGATTGATTCTCAACCTTCATTGTCAATCAAGGGAAGCTTATAATGCAAAATTAAACTGAATACACTTGAATGCATTTTTATTTTTAATGAATTGTTTGATTCATTTACATGCTACAACAAATGTTAGTTCTGTTGTTTGCACCCGTCAAATATTCTCATGATATTGTTAGTCCTATATTATGAATGTAAATATGTCCTTTTGCATTGTATGCACAGCTTGTCTCTGAGACAAATCATTAATGTTTGTTAAGAAAGCAACAGTTTGCCCAAACCTTTATTTATCATTTCATTCTTGAGTACAATTCTAATTGTGCCTGAGTGAAGTCAAAGTATTGCAGTGCTATATGTGGGGTGGAGGGGTGATCTGCTCCATGGTTTGCGAAAGTAACTTATATTCAGGATTTTTTTTTGAATGAACTTGAAACAACTTTAATAGTTTTCCTTATGGGGAAAAAAAAGTTTGGCTGGTGAGTCAGAGCTCTGAGTCATCGTCAGCACAAGGTTGAAGATGTACTGGCTTAGATAATTGGAAACTGCTTAATTAAAAAAGCACAGTTGTCAGTGTAGTTATACTGATTGACACACTGTAGATGTATTTTGCTTTTTAACAAACTACATTCATTTAATTGCCCATAAATTGACAAACGTGAAACATCCTGTTTCCAATGTGTCAAAACCTTTAGTTTTGAAGTACAAACAGTACAGTATGTTACTTTTCAACATGATATCATGTGAAACAAGCAAATTTAAGTGAAGACTAAACTCCAACGTGTAGGTTATGTGGGATAATACTTACAATCAACCATAAAAAATCCCTGTAAGATCCATATGCAAGATATTGTAAATGAGCTATTGAAAATAAGATTAGAACTCTCTGAGCCCTGATGATCCATTGGATTATACCAACCATTGTACAAAAAAAATTACTGGAAAAATGGTCATGGAGACTTGCACTTCTACTTCTACCCAGTCAGAAACTACACACTATTGTGAGTAGTGTTATTCACTTATTCCCTATAACGGCTACAGTGGTGAGTGATAGGCACTCTGAGTCGCTACCCTGCGTGGAGGGCACTAGAAAAGTGCAAGTTGTTGCTGCATTTTACAGAAGCTTCACAAAATGCTCTGTAGTAATCCAAATTAACAGATTTCTTCTCCCTTGTTTGTCTTTTAGTGTATTTGAATTTTCAGTCATGGTTTTGATTCATACACAAGTGTGTGTGTGTCTATATATATTATGTGTATATATTATGTATATATATTGGGATGTGCTTCATGATGTTTATTTTTGTGTGAAAAGTGTTCCATTAATGTTGATAATTTTGATTTGCAAGTTTTTTTGCTAGATTTCTTTAATGTAGTGCATAAAATACTACATTTTTGGAAATTTAGAACTCAAAACATATTCCAGATTCTCTAACAATGAGAATGCTTTCATCTCATGACTTTATAATTCTTTGAACTTCTTATTTCATAGTATATTAATGAGCTGTGGAAATGCGGGTTTATGTTTGTATTAAAATTGTTACATGTGGTTGTGATTGCT